GTACATTACCTCACAGTGCACATTACCTCACAGTGTACATTACCTCACAGTGTACATTACCTCACAGTGTACATTACCTCAGGTTTGTTGTGCATGTCCACGTCCAGGGCAAACTGGCACACTCGCATCTTCTTCTTCAGGATAACTGAAATAACGAAAATTAATGTTATTATTTCATTAATTAATTAATGAAATTAATTAATTAATTAATGTCTTTGCTGTAGGCTGAGAATAAAATTTCTCAATATTTGTCTTCACAATACAGCAAAAATTTAACAATGAATCATTAGATAAAATTGACTTCTATTTCATCACCCAAATATACCTACCACTGCAGACGGTGATCGTAAACAATCGTAATATTAAAAACGAGGCAGACTGTGATCGTAAACAATCGTTAACAATCAAACAATAGTAATATCAAAGGCCTAACCTACAATACCGCTACATTCTCCTTACCTCGGCAACGCACTCTAAAATATTGCAATGGGATCACAGAATAAATCGAGGCTCTCTAGAGTGCCAAGCAAACGAGGCATCTACTGGCAACGAGCGAGTTCCTACAGTTAGAAGACAAAAACTAAAGCTTCTTAGGGTAAAGATAAACATCGGAGGTGACGCAGCTCTGGCAACAGCAAGGCCAATTTAAGAAGGTCACTTGCGCTCCCGGCCGTTCAACTCATTGCCTGCTAAACGCCGATGTTCGGGTGCGTTGTACTGCATGTTCTTAGTTAACAAACATGCTCTTGTTAACATGACCAGTTAATATCAAGCAGTATATATCAAGACCTCAGTCCAAGAGATTTGTAGTGTAGGTGTTACTGTCGAGTCATTGCCTGAGTCAGGAGTAGCTTGCACGCGTCCAAGATACTGACAACTCATTATCAAGGCGTCAGTCTGTAATTTAACGGCTGCTTTCCACACAAATTTTGCATTAAACCTAAGAGCCAATTTAGTAACGATTGAACGGATGAGCGTGTGAACATAATCAGGGGGTTTGATCGCTTAATATATAAGGAAACATGGTCAAGTGTGAGGGATCTTGCCGTTAATTTGCATAATTAATACTATAGATGCAATGATACTTACACTGCATGTGCCAGCAGCGCCATATCACGTTGTTGAGGCGAATTTTGTCCTTGCACCGAAGTTTGAGGCCTTTGAAGCGATTCCACTTCGGCGAAGTGATCTTGTGCCTGAACAAGTAATATAAAACAACTTTAAAACACGAACAACTATTTCCTTAAAAACAATAGCTATTTAACCAACATTTTAAGTGAAAAAGTCATAAAATTTCAATACGAATTTTGGCCGAAATTTTGTATAGGTACATGAGCAGTAGGAGGATACGGTCGTAAAGACAACTACATCGGCAGTCCTGCGTCGGTCCAGCGAGCGGTCAGCCCTCACCGTTTTTGTATAGGTACATGAGCAGTAGGATGATACGGTCGTAAAGACAACTACATCGGCAGTCCTGCGTCGGTCCAGCGAGCGGTCAGCCCTCACCGACGCAGACGATGTCAATGTACATTCAGACCTCAGTGACACCAGACAAGAACTTCCCACCACAGAACGGTTACATGAAGCAACAAGAACAATACGAGAACTTTCGTCCGTAGAATGGTTACATGAAGCAACAAGAACAATACGAGAACTTTCGTCCGTAGAATGGTTACATGAAGCAACAAGAACAATACGAGAACTTCTGTCCGTAGAACGGTTACATGAAGCAACAAGAACAATACGAGAACTTTCGTCCGTAGAATGGTTACATGAAGCAACAAGAACAATACGAGAACTTCTGTCCATATAATGGTTACATGAAGCAACAAGAACAATACGAGAACTACAGTCCATATAATGGTTACATGAAGCAACAAGAACAATACGAGAACTTCTGTCTGTAGAACGGTTACGTAATAATGCAATAAGAACACAGGTTAAGAAATTCCGCCCGTAGAACGGTTACATGAAACAACATGAACAACAAAAGTAAAAAAATTATGTCCAGCATCGATCATATATAAATGATAAAACAAGAGCAACAAGAATAAATAAATAAAGAACTTTTGTCCCCGGAACGGTTGTAAAATGAACCGTGTGGTCACGCCACCTTAATGATGAGCAGTCATTAGAGCTACTGCTTTTCACGGATCACTGACAGAAAAATACTGATATTTTCAACTCCCGTTAGTATATTTATCTTCAAACCATTTATTATAAATCATTCATTAAAATTCTCACAACTTCATGTCAACGTTGACACGTTTCTTTTACCCACCAATCAAATGACATTGAAACAAAGTTTAACAAACGTTGATTCAACCAAGCAACTTTTATTTCAACGTTGATTGAACATCAGTTGTCTAGTGGGTAGCAACAGGCGATTCTCTTCCCAGTATTGTGCTCGCTGCTCCAGTCTAAATCTGACTCAGCCTTGAGCTATTAGAGCGATTAAACGGCAGATTGTCCTGCCGTTATTTAACGGACTACACGGCAGATTATCCTGCCGTTATTTGATGGACTACACGGCAGATTATCCTGCCGTTATTTGATGGACTACACGGCATATTATCCTGCCGTTATTTGATGGACTACGTACACGGCAGATTTTCCTGCCGTTGTTTGATGGACTACACGGCAATTATCTTGCCGTTAATTGATGGACCACATAGCAGATTATAATGTCGTTACTTCGCAAACCTCACTAAAGGTAACACTAGCCTCAACCATGGCAACAATCAAGTTATATACGTAAGAGAAAGCCTCCACACAAAACACGATGCCGTGTCATCTTCTGTTCTCTTCATCCACGTCACCCCTTAACGCATAGATTAACACGAGTACTAATTGACTCATCAGAGAACATCCGCATTCAATGGGCCACTTTGATATTTGGCGTTTTATGCGTAGCTTCAAGACACCGATTCGGTACAATGTGATAAAAATAAACGTCTCTTTCATTGCACCGAGAAGTCTTGGCACGCTGCGCTCTGACCAGCTGGCAGGTGCGTACCCTTGCTGAGTGGCAACGGCTGCCTTCAAAACATCATAACAAAAATATAATAATTAATTTAATAGGCAAAGGTTGTGCGCTCGTATCGTCCTCAAGTAACTCAGGTTGTGCGCTCGTATCGTCCCCAAGTAACTCGGGTTGTGCGCTCGTATCGTCCCCAAGTAACTCAGGTTGTGCGCTCGTATCGTCCCCAGGTAACTCAGGTTGAGCGCTCGTATCGTCCCCAAGTAACTCAGGTTGTGCGCTCGTATCGTCCCAAGTAACTCAGGTTGTGCGCTCGTATCGTCCCCAAGTAACTCAGGTTGAGCGCTCATATCGTCCCCAAGTAACTCAGGTTGTGCGCTCGTATCGTCCCCAAGTAACTCATGCAGGTTGTGCGCTCGCATCGTCCCAAGTAACTCAGGTTGAGCGCTCGTATCGTCCCCGAGTAACTCAGGTTGAGCGCTCGTATCGTCCTCAAATAACTCAGGTTGTGCGCTCGTATCGTCCCCAAGTAACTCAGGTTGTGCGCTCGTATCGTCCCCAAGTAACTCAGGTTGTGCGCTCGTATCGTCCCCAAGTAACTCAGGTTGAGCGCTCGTATCGTCCCCAAGTAACTCAGGTTGAGCGCTCGTATCGTCCCCGAGTAACTCAGGTTGTGCTTGCAAGAAAGACGATGCAGGTGCAATTTGCCGCTCTTAACGTAAGCGCCTCTGATGACACTGTTGCAATCCAGTAAACATTTGGTCGCCGCTGATGACATTGTTGCAGTCAAGTAGATGCTGGCTCGCATCATCTCGAAACATTTTTTTTTTTTTGTGAATATGTGGTATCAAACCACATGGTATCAAACCTCGAAACATGTGGTATCAAGAGGACAGAAGTGCAACTAAATCCAACCTACAACCTCTGAGCGTAAGAACTGCGAGTTAAGGCCTACAAAAAAGTAACCAATCTGCACGAATTTACACAGTACGTTTACACAATTATTCTGATTAATCTCAACTACTGTAGTAGAGATCATGAGCTATTAAGTAGTATCGGGCAAAATAAATAACCTCGCTGTTGATTGACGAACGTGATTTTTTTTTCGGGATTTGCGGTCCAAGTCCAGACGGCAAAGCTTGAGAAGTTGAGATCCAGTAAAAGATCCAGTGGATCTTCTACAGCGGTACACACTTAATGCCGGCATGTCGTCAAAATGACCTTTAGTGCAAAAAGATCCTCTAACTTGATCTCTTTTAATACAAGTTTGATACACGACCACTAATTGGTGCTAATTAAGCGAGTGCACGCCCGTGGAACGTTCGTCTTGTTTGAATGTCGGTGTAGGCCACCATCAGAGGCGTTAAGGTCGGGGCCCTGATCATTGACATGAAACCATTCCCTGTTTTTAATTAATAAAATCAATTCCTTTTTTTTTTTTTTGTTGGAATGGTGAGTGTGGGAGGCCTTTAAAAAAAATACCTAACCTCTCAACGGTGATGTTTAGCTCATGACAATTTTTCTATTTTGCTTTCGTTCGCGAGTTATACAGATATAGGAGGAACGGCCGGCTTTTCTGCCGGCCGGTTTAACCAAGAGCAGTTTACGTATAACCGTTATAACTCGCAAACGAAGGCAAAACGAAAAAATTGTAGCGAGCTTAACATCACCGTTGCTGAGGGTAAATATTTAAATACTAAGTTTCGTTCAAATCCATTCAGTAGTTTTGGAAGGAATGTCTTGATTACAGCGAATTTAAGCACGTATTGCTGTTTAAATCACGAATGAAGGTGAAATGGAAAAAAACTCGCGAACAAAGGCACAATCGAATAAATTTTCATGAGCTCAACATTAACGTTCGGTAGTATAGGACTGTAAATTCAAAATTTCGTTCGAATATTCTCAATAGTTTGGAAAAAATTTCTTGATTGCCTGGTACTGTGAATTTCGGCCCATATTGCCATATAACTATGGCAAAAACAAATGAAGGCAAAATTTAAAAAAAATTCACGAGCGTAATATTACCGTTAGGTCCTAATGAATGCGTGTACCAAGTTTCATCGAGTCAAGTTCATTAGTTTGAGAGATAGGTATTACTTGAACATTGAATTGGAAGTTGGCCGTGAGAGCGGCCGCGAGTCCGGCCGTTAATTTGTCCGAGACGTAAACCCAGGAGAGGTTAAAAAAACAGATCTGGGTGAAAAAACCATCGCTGGGAGTCATGATGTGCTGCACGTGTTGTGTACAAATCGTCAAACAAACGTTCGAACTTCTGCCTTCGGACTACCGCCCCCCTACCGCTCCCCAAACGCCCTCTTCTTCCCTACCGCCCCCAAAATCTTTCCACCGCCCCTAGGGGGGCGATATCGCCCACTTTGGGAACCACTGCTCTAACTTGATCTCTTTTAATAGAAGTTGGATACACGACCACTAATTGGTGCTAAGCGAGTGCACGCCCGTGGAACGTTCGTCTTGTTTGAAAATGCAGAAAATTAAAAAGTGACTGTAAGCACAATGAGTCATGGAAGCGAGTTGATTTACATCAGGAAAGACAAAAATCCCAGGCCTTTAGGAATCAATGCTTAGTAAAAGCATTTTTAACTGGAGCAGAATGATAAACTTGGTTGGGCACATTTGAATTTTGTGAATGATCGACTTACCCCTCAAACCAAAATATTTGAGAAAGAAGATAATAAAAACTGATAAACAGTCCAAGACGAAAGGGCTAATTGCGATTCACACACAAACGCACGTTTATGAAGCAATACATCACTAAGTAAAAAAAATATTTCATTTGATTGACTTTTCAACAGTGAGTTGTCTCAATGCAACAAGTTGGATCATTGCAGCTCCTGTGCTCAGTAAGCAGCTTTCATTAATGCATTTATGGCCCAGCATATTACGTATATATACAGAAGTTCCTACATTAACTAGCGAGTGTAATAAGCTGGTTAATGTGGCTAATGCCCACAGTGTTAAATAAGTTTATGGTCAAAGAAACCGAACATTGATTAAAAATGGTACAAGATTGTACAAATGCACTAAGAAAAACTAACATACAAGTTAACATGAGTGGAACAGTTTGCTTTAAATATTTGTTCAATAATTCTGCACAACTTCAAGTTTCTATTGTGTTACATAGCCTCAGTATTAGGCCTTTAATGCCCATTGACAGAATTTTTCTATGTCAATTCGTTTTTGAGTTTTGGGGGTTTTTGTTAAAAAAACGAAAAGTGGTCTAAGTTACCCCGGGAGTCTAAGTTACCCCAGTTTACGGTAAATAATTTCCAATCAAAAGCAATTAACTTATGTCCTTTTTCTTCTTAACTTTGTGGGATAATTTGGTGTAGGACCCCAATTTGTAAGCTGCTGCTAGAGCTGTAGGACTAGGTGGAATCAGACTCACTAGTTCTTGCCTTGCATGCACCAAGCTTGGTGTATCCATGCCTTGTTGATCATAGCCATTGTTGAGTTTATTTCTGTTAAATTAAGTTGATGTAACAGTTCAGTGAGTATTTAGGATGTTAAGTGGATTAGTAGTTTAATGGTGTACAAGTTATTGGCAACAGTCACATGAAATTCAGAGAGTACACTTGAGCAGTGAGAGGATAGTCTTGCAACCTGAACCCAATGATTTACCTTGCTCATGTGTCAAGTAGTTTTCTTGTTAGTATTAATGCACAATTGTTGTGTTCTTTCATTGCATTTCAATAAGGAGCCATGAGTGCAACAGCTCATCAAACTGTTTTGAATACTTGTAGGCAAATTATTTTCCAAAGCTTAATAGACCAAGTCATTGACTACCGTAACAAGTATCATTCAATTCAATCACACATCATTTGCCATTTGCATTTGATCACAAAGCAATCTATGGAGAAGCATGATAGGCAACCACAATCTGCCACAATCATGCATCAGTGTCTTAGATGCAATGAATTTGGCGTCCTTCACCTCATTGGATCAGAGACCCAAGCAAATAGAAGTACCATGCTGCATAGATTGAGGATTGGTCATATGCGCATTAGGTGCCTAGAGTAACTTGATTGAGCGCCACTGTATGCCATATATACTAAAATAACTGCCTGGACCTACTGCATGTCTTGGCAGAGTAAGTTATCCTAGCCACAGCAACATCCAAGAGGACTGTCACCCCAACACATCAATCCTACACCATGATGACATGTTCACCAGATTGGTAAGGGAAGACTAGCAAAGCAACTTTAGAACTGACAGCCTTAAACAATACTAATAGAATGCAACCTGCTATCAGAGATTTACAGTGATTCCAATGTTGGCACTGCCTCTTGGCCATAAGCCGCAAGACTGTATTTGCACCAACCCAGACCAAGCCCCACTTCCTTGACACTGCAGTTTGTCAATGAAACCAGAGCAGACCCTCACTCTATGAGCAGAGAATCTATCACCCAACACCTGCACCTAAATAGATCAGGCTGCAAAATGGAAGACACAAGAGATCAAATAACCTAGACATAATGTAATATTGTACCTCCAAAGCAAAATAGATAACTAGCTGAAGCATTAGTAAACCTTCTACTACTACTAACTAAATGTGTCATACCCTACAGTATGGAAGCTTGTAATTTAATGGACTGAAGTAATAGATAGGTACTCCAGCAAGTGAAAATCTTATTTGTCCAAATATGGGAAAGTTATGGTCACAGATCAGGAAGTACATCTTATATAAACCTGATTAGTTTTAAAGAAAACAATTAATCTTTCATGAAAACAATTGAATTCATTGTAATGTGCAAAATTGTCTGCAATGTAAATCAAACAATGATTTATGATGTATTCCTATAGGATTGTGTTCCTATTTTTGAAAAGCAAAATTATAAATAAATGCAAAACCCATGGTGTTGAATATTAATATTCGTGGCTTTCAAAAATGGGATTTAAATCTTAAAACTAATCTAACAACTAATAAATGTAACTTATGGCTTATAATTTTTCTTACATGGCTGCAAATTTACTAAGCTCACAGCTAAGAAAATTCAATTGCATCTTGGAGATTAAATCTGCTATGCATCATCCAAACTAGAAAATATTGTTCAAGTTAAAAGCCACCCATGAACGAGATAAAAATACATGTGGTTGTAGTAAATTTCAGTTGTTCCTACCTAGAGCCTTTGACTAATTTCTTTTGTCAAAATAAGGACAAACAGAACTTTATAGTGTTATAGTGTTTACTATTATAAAATCCCAGAAAAAATTATCTTTCATACAAACAATTTCAAGGAAATTTTGCCTAGTATTCTGGAGTGGCAGACCATGGAGGCAAACAAGAGATTTTCTTAGACAGCAATTCATCCCAATTTCCAGATGCCTGAGCAACTATCTACTTCAAGATTTTGTTTAGTATCTTATGCATAAAATTAAAAAAAAATATAACTCGGTACTCTCTGCAGTAAGTGACAAGAGAGCACATTTTCTTGTCGACGAAAACTTGAAGTCACGGACAGACAGACAGACTGACAGAGGGACAGAGTACAGACATCATCATCATCATGAGACATGGCAAGCACAATAGTGCATTTTTTCCATAAATGAGAAAATGTGCTAAAAAGTCCCATTCATTATTGAATTCTAGGAATTGTATGTTTCATTCATTCAAGATTGGCCCCATCCAAGTTCTCAATTTCCCAACCTTGCAACTTTACCAGTGAAAAGTTCCACAATGTCAGATAAAATTTGTTTGGTAACTTATAAAGTATTAAATGGAAATATAATTTTACATTCAGTATTTGGATGATTGTATCCAATACAAAATGCTATCATTGCTATGTGCTTGTTAATATGGTATATTTAATACTACCATCTAGCCTCATCCCACTGTGCAGAGAGTGGATGAATATTGCAAGATCTTTGGTGACGCTTCAGTAGCAAAATTTACGCCTTCAGAAAATCTTGCCGACACATTTAGATTGAAATTCTTGCATTTAATATATTTGTCAGTCTACGGCCAACTATTAAAAAAAAGTAAGGTTTCCAGTATGTTGGATGGATCAGGATGCAGTGAAGCTTGTCCGGAAATCAGTTGCGATGAGTTCCCGCCAAAAAATGTAAACATCAAGCTTACGATTACGTAGTTGCGCATCACATTAGAGCGGTCAGACTGCATTATCACATGTTCAGTAGATACTTGCTGTACAATTGGACTGTTTTTAGGGTAAAATTAGTTATTTGTGATAACACGTGCATGCAACCTTGTAAATAAGTGCATGGCTTGTAAATAGTTTTTCATTACTCAGCCGTCTCAGCGTAAATGGCTTTTTCCCAAGTAAAAAACTCACTAAAGACCCGGCGACGCATCTTAAAATTACCCGGCAATGCTTTAGGGCTTAAAAACCCATATATTGGCAATGCTGCATCCACCCTCTGCAGTCTGCATCACATGTTCAGTTGACACTTGCTGTACAATTGGACTGTTTTTAGGGTAAAATTAGTTATTTGGGATAACACGTGCATGCAACCTTGTAAATAAGTGCATAGCTTGTAAATAGTTTTTCATTACTCAGCCGTCTCAGCGTAAATGGCTTTTCATTAAAAATTACCCGGCGACGCTTAGGACTTAAAAACCCATATATTGGCAATGCTGCATCCACCCTCTGCACCCTGGGCCTCATCTAGGCACTCCTGAGTCCTGAGCTGCACCCTGTAATCTTATCATCTTATGTGCTGCACTGTGATCCAGAGTGAAATTTTCCTCTTATTACCCACTGAAATAACTGAAACCTCACAGTTCAAAAGTAGAATCAATTTTTTATACAATTGGATTATGTGGCCCAAATCCCAATTAAGCACTCATATTACCAATTAGGTTGAAATTAATTTGTATAGCATGAATCTGAATCTTGCAGTTCTGAAAATGGCAGGACCGCAGGAAAGCAGGGTGCAGGAAAGGAAAGCTCTAGTGGCAGCTAAAGAGGTAGAAACTACATAGAAGGTTCACCTTCTTCACCATCCAGTGTCCAGGCTAGCAGCTAGACTAATGCAGAGATGCAGTCTATGACTCTATGGTCAGCTCAAATATTAATTAGGCTATTAACATGAGATAGAAAGCATTTAAATCCTATTAAGAAATTGTTCTGCAGAAACTTGACTTAAAGTCAATAGACTATGGAGAAAACTTGTAAAAGTAATTGAGTACTTACTTGTATGCAATATCCATGGCATTAAACAGTTTTGTAAGAGACTCATCAATGGATAATTTTTCTGTTGTGCTAGTTGCACTTTGGTACTGGATCACATTTTTATGCCTGAACTTGACTTTTTTCTTCCTACGTTCCACTACATCAGAAGGATCCATTGCTTGAGCATTCTCTTCTTCACTAGCAGATTTTTCCCCATCCGGATCAGGTATTTCAACCAAGTATTTTTCTACCTCCTTTTCTTCTTCCTCTTGTGCTTCAATGGCATCAAAATCGGACATCATAAAATGACCCGAGTGTATCACCTCTTTGTTTTCCTTGCTCCCCATTTTTTCAAATATTTCTATGCTAGTCCTCATTTTGAAACACTACACTCTTATTCTTCACCTTCTTAGTCCGGAATCATCTGGCAGTAAGATTGTATAAATGAATAAGCAAAGCCATCAAACACTGAGCACATCCACACATCATTGACGCTAATCGCACACTGACCAGTGACCACTGCAAACCCGGGCATAAGCTGCCTGGCAAGGCACTGTCCAAAGTGTCCCATGTTATCTACGTCGTACATAATGTGGATTGCTCGATGATCATCAGAGATGTTACAGAAGCTTTAGAATTTGTCCTTGTCCCTCCTTTTAAAAAGAAATATTATTCGGCTAAAATGCAAATTCTGGCGATACTTTTTTTCTTTTAGTCATAGTCTCCGTTAGCGCAACCGAAAATGCGTAATAAGCGAACGAAAAAAAAGTGCAGCTAGGGTAAAACATGTTCTCGGCAATGTTTCTGGGCAGAATATTAGTATTTGGTATAATATACGATCATATAATGGAGTATTTTGGTTTAATATACGATCTATAAGAATTTTTAAATATTCCTACTTATACTATTATTAGTATAGTATTACTGTTTTAGTTATAGAGTCAAGCCAGACCCTACCACAACATTAGAAACTTTTCATGCCTTGAATTTGATGGCCTAGATAAGCTACTAGGTAAGCTTATCTAGCATTTACGGACCTCGATACGATCTAATCACTAGATACGAACTCACTCGATACGATGCAATATGATCACTATATGTCATAGTCTCATAGACAAATACTCAGGTACAAATTAATAAGCAATCAGATATCTGACATCATGTTAGAGATAAACACAAATGAAGAAATTTTCAAAATATTTATTGGCCATTATGCCGATAAATCTTGTGAATGAAACCACGATATAAAACAACACAAAGAGATCATGAGCTGGGTTCCACCGAAATCTTAATAGTAGAGACATTGTTTGGTCACTGAGATTTGGAAAACTGGCCGTAAAAACTGACCGCTAAACTACCCGACAGGACCTTTCAGGAGTTAACATGGCAGTAAAATTAGGCCTATGAATTGGACGCAGCAGAGCAAACAGTAAGTGTGGTCGCCAATTCTACATGGTGAAGGATCGAATTATTACGGCAGGCCGTGTCCAGGTACCGCAGTAACCTATTTACAAAATTCGATTGATTGTTAGTTAAAAGAGAACTAAGTTTGCCCTTTAAAGCTTAATTAACGGACTCGGATATACAAAACCTTGAACGTAACTATAGAAGGATCGTAAATTTTTCGTAATTTCCTCTTAACCTTCGTCATTCATTTATTTATCATAATGAATTAGTTGCCGAACCATCTAAATACTTCCGTGCAACACACAATAAAAAATACATGGCATATTATTTGGTATCGTGTAAATGAGAGGTACAGATAATGTGCCGAATTTATGCCACATAGATTTGCTCAAGACATCACACACAACTTTGAAAAAAAACTCAAATTTCAAATAGTCGTTCTGGACTTTACGGTTACCGGAATTGTGATTATTTTGTGTGATATTTTCTTTTGCGTATTTATCAGAGATTGCGTTCACGTGGCGCCGCTACTAACAACAATAGGTGATCTGAGGAATAGCGTAAACTAAAGCAGTGGCATCATCAGCCATGCGCGCTCGTCAGACTGTGGGACGAATTTGACTACGGAGCAGACTAAGTCGTCACACTGAACGTGGACATATTAAACACATATGTTTAGGTATGAGAAGAACATTGAAGAGACCCGTTCAGTATAATTTTTTTTCTCATGTATAACTTTGTTAGTGCTCTAATATAGCAAACATTTGTTGCGAAAAAAGTATTAAAACAGATTTTGTGCATTTCTGCGAAATATTTCGTTATATATTTATATTTTACGTATAACTCGCTGATTAACTGTAATGGAAATATTGAAATTGCGAAACCCAAGCACAGCGTGTCGTGGGCTGTGGGCCGACTCGCCTGCATCATGAAATAGATGCGAACGGTTCCAGCATCAGAGATACGAAATATAATTCTCACACAAATTTATAACCATTTCTCTCCTGCGCGAAAAATTGAGCAGATCGATTTGATATTTGGGATAAAATACACAATTAAAATGTATAGTCATAGTTTACGTTTCTGATTCGGAGTGATACTTTACAACTGCATCGTCATTACATGCACTCCTAGTGACTCGTCACACACATGCACAGCATTGCTGTATCGCTGCGTCGTTAATTTTCAGAAGCCGATACCTTGACTCGTAATTCCAGGATAAAAGGACAAAATATTGATGCTCATTGCTGAGGTTAAAAAACAGATCTGGGTGAAAAAACCATTGCTGGGAGTCATGATGTGCTGCACGTGTTGTGTACAAATCGTCAAACAAACGTTCGAACTTCTGACTTTGACTTCGTACTACCGCCCCCCTATCGCCCCCCAAACGCCCTCTTCTGCCTTACCGCCCCCCAAAATCTTTCCATCGCCCCTAGGGGGGCGATATCGCCCACTTTGGGAACCACTGGACTTTAGGTATAAGAAGAACATTGAAGAGACCCGTTCAGTATAATTTTTTTTCTCATGTATAACTTTGTTAGTGCTCTAATATAGCAAACATTTGTAGCGAAAAATGTATTAAAACAGATTTTGTGCATTGCTGCGAAATATCTCGTTAAATATTTCTATGTTACGTATAACTCGCTCATTAACTGTAATGGAAATATTGAAATTGCGAAACCCAAGCACAGCGTGTCGTGGGCTGGGGTCCGACTCGCCTGCAGCATGAAATAGATGCGACGGTTCCAGCATCAGAGAGGCCGCGGGTCCGGTCGTAAATTCGTCCGAGACGTGAGATACGAAATATAATTCTCACTCAACCACAACCATTTCTCTCCTGCGCGATAAAATTGAGCAGAACGATTAGATATTTGGGATAAAATATATAATTAAAATGTATTATGTATAGTCATAGTTTAAGTTTCGAATCAGTTTCTGATTCGGAGTGATACTTCACAACTTCATCATTACATGCACTCCACTTAATACACTTGCACAACACTGCATCGCTGCGTCGTTAATTTTCAGATGCCGATACCTTGACTCGTAATTCCAGGATAAAAGGACAAAATATTGATGCTCATTGCAAATGTTTAACAATTTTACAAGTACGTGGGTGACACCACATACGCTCCACGTGTGTTCACAATGAAAGCCTCTATATATCAACATGTCGTGGCAAATACCTTTATTTTAAGAATTTCTTCCATTTTTCCTTTGTCTTTTTTCTCAATAATGGAATGTCTCCAAGAAAAGACATATTATCGCCAGAAAAAAGCATTTCCTCCACTTTCCTTAGTAATTTTTCTCAACAATGGAGTGTCTCATAGAAAAGACATATTATCGCTAGAAAAAAGCATTTATTCCACTTTCCTTAGTCATTTTTCTCAACAATGGAGTGTCTCCTAGAAAAGACATATTATCGCTAGAAAAAAACATTTCCTCCACTTTCGTTAGTCATTTTTCTTAACAATGGTGTGTCTCCTAGAAAAACATATTATCGCTAGAAAATTCTTATCGCTCTGTTTTCCGTTCCAGCGCGGCCAATGAAACTCGGGGGCTGCGGAGAAGCTCCTTGTTCTTCAGCTCCACGTCCCGCGCCTGCAGCAGTTGGAGGAAGCATGGCAAAGAGTGAGCACGTGTCTGCTTATTGTGATATGAAAGTCTTTAATTGTTTGTTGGAAATGAATCGGCGACAGGCCACATCAGGCCTACACCTCAGCGCCGAGATCAATATGTTATGTTATGTTATAATGTTAAAGGTTTATTGACAAGACGAACATTCATATGAATCTGTCTCATCAACAAATTTTTATCATCACTCGAAAATAGATAAATCGAGCTCATCACCTAACGTGGGTTACAATTTTTTGCACAATCAGTATTGGAGCCGACTCAAGTAAATGTATTTTGCGATTTAACGTTCCTTTGCTCATGGACGTATGACAAAAGAAATGAGCTGCAATTATGTCATTGTGTTTCAAGCATTTTCTTTGATCAGGCTTCTAATGTGAAATAAGAAATAATAATATCATGTTATAACGAGAAAAAATAATCTAAAATATTATTTTTCGTTTCAGAAATCAGAGCGCGAGGGGAACCGTTGCGAGTCCACAAACTGTTACGCCTGCCAGTAAGTACAACTCAGATACATGGAAAACATAGCTTATTGTGATATGAAAGTCTTTAATTGTTTGTTACATTCAACCATGTTTAAATATTAAGTATCGTATGGGTTTATGTCACAGTAGAATAATAACTTGCTCATCATAAAATAGAATGCAAATTTGCTTGAATAATGTGAACGATGTTTACTTTCAATGCTGTTAACAAACAACAGGCTCAATCTACTCAAACTGTTTACAATTAAACGTTCAAAAATAATCGTACCTCTTGATTAAGATTCGTTCGTTCATGCATGGCTGGTGAGCTGCAGTTTTCTTGCCAAATGAACAATAGCATTAATATGTATTTTAAATCCAAGCAAATTGTACAGTTAACTGGTCCAGATGCACCAGCCACGAGAGCATAAAGACTGAGAAACGATCACGGAAGGAAACGGACGCGAGTAAAATAAGACAGTTCAGATGCACGTGTTGACTTCAATGTTTCCATACCACGAGTCATTAGATTTTTATCATAGACTATCGCAAAATGAAGTTTATACGGATGATGATGTACGAAGACATCATTCGGTAGCGTCATTGTAAAGGACAATCGACACAAGTATTCTTCATACTTTCAAAAAATATCTAATCGAATGGTATTATTTTAAATAGTTTATTCACCCTGTTATTTGGGTTTTGAGATCCATGAGTAATTTATTGCATTGGAGAGGATTGGGTGAGCTGGATTTGATCGTAAACCAACTCCTATAATAATACTCATTTAATGAATCAAAAGTGTGAAATTCAAATGCTAATTTAGTTCAAGTATGTTTTGCAGCCGAGTAGTTCCTATCTGGCAGTGGCCGAAAGCATGAATTTTTGAACGAATTCTGTCAGCAGACCAATTTCACGCATTATAATTTTACATGCAATGTTATTTCAGCAGGAGTGTGCGGAGCAAGATGGAAAAACGAGCAGCATCAGGCGGTCGATTTAACGACTCAAAGAACTTGTATGGTCAAGAAAAGCGTTCAATTGGACGCCTGAGAGCGGGCACCATCGTGCAGCGGCTCATTTTAAGGGTAGCAACCAAAAACTACGATATGTGGGTGAATTTGCCTGGTTGGAAATTGATTAAGGTTGGACCAGATATAAATTGGCAAGAGATTGCCTCACAGTTAGAAGGTTCAGATGTTACCATTGTATTCACTCCGAATGTTTCTAGCACTTACTCGCCAGTAGAAGCTTTGTGTCATTTTATATCAAGTTTATGTGAAAGTAGATCATCGTGGGAAGTGGTAGCGTCAACGGATTCAGAATGTTTTTATTCTAATGACGCCTTCTGCACCAGGGCTTGGTCTAGGGCACTGAAAGGCAAAGAATTTTCTTTAGAGATACGCCGCGAAAAAAGTCAAATGTGAGTTAATTTTTACATGGAATTAGTTGACATTTTTTAAAGATAAAGCATTTCCTTTGTCTGTTTAGCCTAAGCAAACCAAGAGATTTTCAAGGTCAAGCTTGAAACCGAGTAGAACAAGTTCAGTAGATTTTAATATATATAATGCTTAAGAAAAAACTAAACCGACTGGTATCAATTAGTCTGAACCTGTAATAGTCACAGAAGTGTTTGCTTCAGTAATACATAGCCGGTGCTTTGTTTCATCTTCAATTGTATACATTAAATGACATCAAAGAACATTTATTTCTTTACTTTCCCCTCTCAGATCTAATGCTTCGTTTATGACACTAAAGTCCTCGGCCGCGCTGTCCTCGACGGCTATAGTACCGTCCACAGATTCTTCATTATTATGTTCAAGGACCGCCAGCATGAACATACATTACTGAATTTACAACGTCACGTCTCTTTCATCGAGCTACGTTCAGTATTTTGCGAGATATTCTACGCTCACTGAATTTGGAGTCCGGCCGCGAGACCGGCCGTAAGACAGGCCGCGTTTTTGTCCGAGACGTGAATTTACACAGCTTGCAGGGGCTTGAACCCACAACCGCTGGCCTGAACTCAATTAAAAAAAAAACATTTAAGTTCACTCGTATATTCTCCTTCTCTCTTATACTGATCAAGTTATACTGTAGCCGATGTAACACCGTTAAGTCCAAGGAATGTAGTTATGATTGAGCACGATAATAAATTTGATTAGGCATTTAATATTTGTTTTTCTTATTACAGTCAGCGATTATTTCGATCTATTTCCTCATTGGTAGAGTTTATGTACGTCGGCCAGTACCTGCAGCATCGTCAGTCAATGGGTGTTAAAATTGAAGCTAAAAATCCTGGCCTCGTCTAACGGGATTGAAATGCATGAACCAAAATTTTAGGTTAAGGAAGCATAAGCGGGCAACCCACAGCTGATTAGGGAGAAATAAGAACAAGCATGCATGAATATCTGGTGACGGCACAATAATCAAAGATTACGAAGCTTCTAAGCCTCAGTTATCGACGTCTGCGTGGGGAACTCATTGAAGTATACAAGTATACATGGTTTATTCAAGGTCCCAGAAGGATTTCTAGAATTTGAAACAAGAACCAACACCAGGGGCCACGGCTATAAGCTAAAAAAACTGCGCTGCAACTTCTCCACGCGACAAAATTTCTTCTCGCTTCGAATCACCGACATGTGGAACAGCCTCCCCGCGAAGACATCGTTGGCGCTCCAAGTATGAACGCTTTCAAGAACAGACTAGATAAAGCTATGGAAAAATATATGTTCAGATTTGAAATGCATAGCACCATATCGAACCAGGTGGAAGTCTAGTAGCTATTTCAAACTATAGTCAGTCTTGAAAAATTCCGGTCAAAGGACATGCTTTTGGATCTTCCGTGAACAAGTCACGAAAAGTACAAGAATCGGCGACAGGCCACATCAGGCATACTCTTCAGTGCCGACATCGCTATATTATGAAATAATCGTCTAACATCATTAGAAAACTACTTATTAATGATCGAAAAACTGGTAAATATATTCAAAATAAAAATTAAACTTATTAAAGCTCAGAGAATATTGGCATAAATTCAAGCAGTTATAAACAAATTATATGATTACTATAATTTGTAATTAAACTGTGTACTATTAGTGTAAAAAAAGTTTTTCCTTTATTCTAGTCTTTTCGAAACTTGCACAGTTCTTGGATGCTTCGCGGCTATCAAATAGCCCTTACATGGCATGCGGTTTCTAGCAATCATTAACCAATCTAAAAAATAAATAAGACATATATGGGAGAAACTAAAAAGGTACAATATATAAATGGAATAACAGCGTACGAACTAAGTTAATCTATAATTAGATATTACAAGACAAATTAAACTTACCATATAGCTGGGGTAAACGGGCATTTTCATTCACATCTTCTCTCTCAACGAACGATTCAGGCGTACGAGAAGTGCNCACTAACCACTACCTGGGGACACTAACCACTCACCTGGGGACACTAACCACGAACCCGGGGGTGCTAGCCACACATGGAGGCATCTTAAAATCTTTGTAACGTGATGTTTTACTCCTGTAAGAATTCGCTAACGTTTCCCCGTTCAAGACGGTTTCCACACAGTGCCGTCAGTGAAGTCAGTCACAACTAGGTGATGTCCGAAAAACTAGGTCAAGAGTAATTTCAAAATTATGCAGTTAGATGCCGGGAGCATTTAAAGGTGTTCAAGAGTTAATCTTCACTTCAGCTGGTAGTACCCTCCGCCGGCTCAATGCCTCGGAGCGGGGCAGCACGACATTTTCAAAGTTCGAGAAAGATAACGTGGCAGCCGGCCGAAGCCGGCTACTGTCACGGGAGCTCAGCACAATAAACCTCCAACCTCAACGGTTAGAACAGAGACTACAGAACTTCGAACAATAAATTCACAGCGTACGTTGACTAGAAGTTTTCTTTACAAGGCAATTTACAGTGAACCGGAAAATCAACAATGCTTCTTCATAAACTTTATCACGCTTTCAGTTCATGCGAACAGCGCTGCTATATTGGCATGGGTGAGGACTTCTGTTGGCACGACATTAATGGGTGAGGAGTTCTGTTAGCACGACAGCAATGGGTGAGGACTTCTGTTGGCACGACATTAATGGGTGAGGAGTTCTGTTGGCACGACAGCAATGGGTGAGGAGTTCTGTTGGCAGGATAACGATGAATGAAGACTGCTGCTATCACGACAGCAATGGGTTAAGATTGCTGTAGACGTAATTTCTGTTATTCAATGCTTAAGCCTGAATCGTCCATTGTGAAATGGATGAAGGTTAGGCTAAAAAAAGTTAAGTTTGGGGAATTCTATGTTATGTTTTGCTGAAATTATTTATTGCGGGCTAATAAAGAATCCACATGCAAGAAAATTGATTATATAGATCGGGAGACTTGATGATTGATAACTTGATAAGCTGTTACACCATCACCTGCAGCATCTGATCATCGTTCATCAATTCATCGTTCACCGTGAAATTCTTGATTCATCTTGTAACTATATGTATATCTATTTCGCCAGTTTCGATTAAACTTCAATTTATTACCTAATTAAATATAAAATTTAAATTCATTTTTATTGAGCGTTTATGGCCGTAATCACAATGTTTTTGTCTTCTCCGCCAATTTCGATTTAAACGGTTACTTTCAGCCGACAATTTGCGTGTGGTTTTTGTGATTATAAATCCCAAGCCATATAATTGAAAAACCACATTTTTGTTCTTAGAACACGTAATTTTTCCTCTCCAATGAATTAAAAACTTCACTTGAGAAGTGGTTTTCGATTCAACTTGTGCTACTTTGATCAGCCTGAACATAAACTTCACGAGTTTTATTACCGGAGACTAGGCTGAGTATTGTGCTTGTTTGTAATCAGACGCTCTGCTGCCGTGTTGCCCGTATCCAGTTTTGGAAGACCGCAGCTTGGATTAACTCAAACTACCCAATCATCAACGGGAGCTTCGGTCATCGTTCAACTCGTCCAAACGCTTGGAGGCGACAAGGAAATTGAGTCCATTAGGAAGGGGAATTTTTAATTAAAAATCCAATTGCGAAAATAATTTTAGACAAAAACGAAATGCATCAGTCACATGAAAATATAGAACAAAACCATATGAAGCGTTTTGCATATCAATACGAAATAACGTTAGGTTCCCTGGATCTGGCAAGCGTTCGAATACATTCATGTCAGATTACCGAGTAACTACTCTGTTCTCTGGCAACATATGTAACCATGATATAAATAATTCTTTAAATTTGTTGAAAACAAACAGTGAGCAATGCGTGGTTCACGGGCACAACTTCCGAGCGATATTTTCAAGTAAATTTGTAAGTGGAAAGGAATAATTTATAACTTTCAATTAAGTTTATCCTTTTCAATTCCACCATTCAATTGCGTTTTTTCGATTGCAAGAAATAAGATTTTTCCCTAACAGTTCTGTCAAGTTGGAGCCCAGCCACCGACTCGTGTCGCTTGCACACAAAACGATCACGCTGATATTGACGAGTGAACATGTAAACAAAATATTTTTACCGAAGGAAGAACTCGAAAACAATTTTCATCATTATAAATAATTTTCATCATTAAGGTCTACATTTCTGAATTACCTGTTACACAATTTAGACGGAAAGCCACAAGACTCGTCGGTTTTGCCAAACTTAGGAATGGAGAAGTTAGAGAAGACTCCTTACGATAACAACAATAAGAAACAGCAAACAGCAACAAAGTTACAATAAAACAATGAACAGAAAATAAGGGAAGTGCGTTTGATTAAAATTTAGTGGCTATTTGCCAGAACACAAATCACCCCAATGGAATATAACTACAACATCGAGTGCAATGAAAACATCTCCAAGCCTCCTATTGTAGGGTATACAAAATTTTATATGGTTTTAGAAACCGATAGAGCCTGTTTACTTAGCACGTTCTAATATGTACAACAGTCGAAGATATTTATTTTTTGGGAAATGTGTGTGCATGGGACAGCGCTAACCTCACTACAGTGGACACAATTGGTTCCCAGAGACCGCACTGAAAAGCATGGCAGGCAACCCACGATGAAGAGGCAGAGCGCACATTTTACAAAGTATAAATTACTGATATTGACTTTACGTTAATTTGTTCTTAGTAAAAATTACAATAATTTTTGACGCCTTGACTATTATGCGTACATAGAATTTGAACGACCATTAAAATTTTGGCAGCCTAAATTCGTGAGCCACGCCATGTCTTCCTGTGAAGTTCAGTAACGGAGGCAAACTCGCTATGAGACACAGCAGCACTTACGTCAGATTGAGCTTAGCGAGGATGAGATGCCGAACTTTGAAAAGTTCTCACGAGAAAATAGAGCTAATGACATCAACAGCATCACATCAGCTATTCAAATTGTGTTGTGTTCTACTTTTCATGAAAATTAACTTGCCATGAATAGCTTTCAACTCGTCAAAATGAGTAACACTGAAAGCACTCAGTCATTCAAATGCAAAATAAACAAGTTTTATAAAGATGCCAGCATCGTAAGAAGCACGCTTCGCTAGTTGCTTGGTCGCCATCTCTTCGAACCCACAACACGTATATTAAGTAGCACAAACCTTGACCAAGTGAAAGCATTCATTGAAATGAATCCATTTGAGAGTTCACTGCGCAGCACAATCTAAGCCACAATCGTCGAAAAAGTACAAAAATGCTTGGCTATTCATGGTCCAACTTCAAGAGTAGGAAGCTCCTATAGCTAATGCAAGTCCACCTTTTACGAATCATTCGCATTAGTCGTGACTATTCCGTTGCAAAGCTCGGTCACCTCTAATACGAATTGTGTTTACTACACCGCATTTGCCGCAACATAGCCGTATTTAGCTCAGAAAATCGATCCTCATTACCCAGGTCCTACTTAAAGTTCTCGTCTGCGCACGGTGGACGAACAAAACTATGTACACATTAAAAAGCCTACCCATATTTAAGAATAATTTTAAACGCATCAAACGATGCTTAAATCTCAGCTAATATCTATATTCTTTGGCAAAAACATAAATTCTTGATAAAAGAATCATTTCCCATAAAAATTTGATAGAAAATTTCACGACTATTCATACGTTTCATGTTTATATGCATATAGTATACTATTTTAAACACAGAACAATATACTTTGATTAATTAAAATGGTAAAAGTCAGTACAGTCATACTCAACAGTCACTAAAACATTTGAGATCATACTATTCACTTCTACAGGAAAGGAATAATACTTATCAAGACCTGAAAATCTGGTGCACATACAACTCGATTTCACAATGGTTGTCGTACCTTAAACTAAAATCTAAGCTCAATAATTGAGCTCGTCTTAGACTGTGTAATTTTTTGAACTTTCCGCACACCATTATCTCCAAACCTTTTGGAATTTTTTAAGAGAAACTTTTTTGAGCTTCTGAACAGCTGTGCGTAAATCGGACGCGGGTGCCTCCTCGTCGGACAGCATCTCGCCCTCGGAGTGCACGGCGAGGGCTCCTCTTGTGCGTGGCATAGCGCCCTTCTGTGGGCCCACGGCTCGCCACGTGTCGTGTAGAGACTTGATCCGACGGTCAGAAAAATTTTCACGTGATGTTGCCAGCGTGCTGGGATCGCTGTAGGTTTCCTTGACTGGGCGCCGAGCTTGGTGACGACTTCTGCTTACCTTGCTCATGGCGGAAGAAAAAGTGCTGCTCAGAACTGCCGCGGCAGCTGTCGCTCTATTGCGTTCAGTCTCGAGTGGTGCGTTCCTATCCTTTAGCACAAGTTTGCCAAGCGTTTTCCAACCAGATTGCAACTGGTAAATGTTTTCGTGATCATCCAAAATACGGCGTTCAACGCGAGACTTGGACTTGTAGCTCGAAGACGAAGAATCGCCAAGATGGCCATACTCGAGCTCCTCCACCAAAACAAAATTGCTTGGGTCCTCCATTCGCCTTGCTTTTACGAGAGCTTGAGCGAGGATGTCTTGAGTAGTGCTTGACATTGGAGCTTTTAATATCGTATAAGGGATTTGCGTGGACACGTTGTGGATGCAGACTAAGAAGTTGTTCTCCTCCTCCCATCCCTTCGTATCTTCATCGGAATTTGCTTCCGACTCCCGCTTCGTAAAGTTGCTCATTATTGTGGTGAGCCAGGCTCGGGTGCTTGGGTCGTTCGAGGTACGCTTGATCATAAATTTTCCTTCACCTCTCCAATGTGACTGAGCCAGCAGAGGCTTCTCGTTAAGATCAAGTATTCTCTGCGTGGTCATTTTATCTCCTCGTTTCCAGCCCCTGGCGACTTCTTCAATCAATATGTAATCCTCAAGCTTGCCTGGTCTGTCCATTTTTCCAAGAGTTCGAAGAATGACTTCTCTTGTCGTGCAGTCCTGTGTTACACTGATAACAGTCACTGGTTCATCAGGTGTCACCTGATAGATTCTCATGAAGAACTTTTTCCGTTTCAGCAAGGCACTGGGAACTGCCTCCATGTCCTGGATTTCTTCATCCATTGGATCGAGGTCATCCTCGTGCGATGGAGCAGGGAAGATTTCGTACTCTTCTTCTTCTAGCTGAGTGTGGATGAAGATTGTGGAGACGGGGAGAGGTTGATTTTGCATGTTGCGCAACCTAAGATGCCTGTAGCCTTTACGCAAACAGTTGACCGATATGATCCTCTGTGCAGTAGTGTGACTTGTGGCCGTATCGGTCACCAAAAATCGAATGAACGACAGATCTTTGCACATTATTTTGAAGCTGAAAGTTTCATTCCATATAGGGTTAAAGGAATTTCTTGTTATTATTTTAGTCCGGTACTTAGCACTATCCGCAGGGATGCCGAACACCTCCACTTCGATCATAGGGCTGCCATGAAAGTGATTAAGGCACACGTATTGGCCCGAGATGATAGTGAGTGTCATGCTCACGATGTGGAGACCGTCAAACTGCTTCGCGAAAGGGTCAAAGCGACGGTACATCATGTGATTCCTGTCCCACAGGACCCTGGGTTTAAGCACGTACCCGCAATTGCGGTTCTGCTCAAACATGGCGTAGTTCAAGTGGAGGAACACGTCGTCAGTTTGGTAGTTCAGGGCTACCAGCTGGACGCCATTAGCCCAGATGAAGGTTTTTCTACCACAACGCGACTCGTCGCAGGCTGGTTCTGGGACTGCTCCGATGGCAGCTTCTTATTCTGATCCACAAAACATAAAACATGATCAATTCAGTGCAAATATTAGGCAGTAAAGAGATTAATTATTTTCTAGTGAAAGTTGTACGCCTAACTGAAACAAAATGGAGCTACACAACATAAAACAAGATCAATTCAGTGCTAATATTAGGCAGTAAAGAGATTAATGAAGTTGTAGTGAAAGTAGTACGCCTAAATGAAACAAAAAGGAGCTGTAAACAGCATTAGGACCTAACAAAAAAAAATGTAACTCAGTACTCACTGCAGTGAGTGGCAAGAGCGCCTTTTCTCGTCGACGAAAACGTGAAGTCACGGACGGACAGACAGATAAACAGACAGACGGACGGACAGACGGACGGACAGACGGACGTGGCGAGCACAATGGTGCATGTTTTCCATTAATGAGAAAATGCGCTAAAAATTATAACTTGCGAACAGATAATGAATCACCTTGATGATGAACCTGTAGAGCATTTGCTGAGGACTGGGGAGATGAGGGTCGTCAGAGAAATCAGATTCGAATAGGAACTTCGTGACGAGTTTGTCACCGAAGACTTCGTTGAAGATGGCCGCCATCTTGGCCTGCTGCTGCACTGAGCAATGGTTCTCGAGGGACAGTATCACAGGGTAGGGGCTCGTGATGAACGCACTCCGCTCTATCGCCTCCACAACATTCCTTAACAAACAAAATAATTATTTATTATTGGCAAACGAAAATACAATTTTCGCAACCAGGAAATATTGCTTTAGGATCTCAATTACGTCGAGGGATAACATAAATAAAACATACGTACGGGCTGCGATAGCCACAAATTATGTACCAGCTGATAGTGCAGTAATTAACTCTGATTACGCAGGTGTTGAATTTCAACTCAAAATTTTCCTGAAATTTATTGCACCATGGCCTCCCAACGCCGAAGCTATATTCATCTATCAATAAATAAAAAGTTAACAATCAAATTTAGAAAAGGAAACATATATAAGATGGTAATTATAACATGTCAGTTTGTTGCTTTAGTCGGTCTTTGAGTCTTGAGCAGATGTTGCCAACTTTTTTGCTTGTGTATTTCTACGTTGTCAGTGCAAATATACAAGTTTACTTCATCTTCTGAACACTACAAGCTGTCATACTAAATAAAAACTCAGCAACAACTTATCATCTGAAAGCTATTGCCTTCTTCTCACGGTCAACAGGGTGGCTTTTTAATAGATTTAAAAGAACTAAGGAAGTAAAGCATTACCTGAAAGGTATCTTTGTAGTGAAGGTATGACCGTGGTAGATCATAGGTGAGCCGTCATCACCATCGTAACAGTCAAGTTCGACGCAACGGCAGCCTGTCTGCAGCACCTGTGAGTAGTCAACAATTTTATAACCATACACCGTACCTACATATATACTTAGAATAGGCCTCTTTATCAATTAAAATTTCAAACTAACATGTGCTTCGAGGCCCACGGAGTAATCACTTCTTAATATTTACAAAATGAGTAAAACCACAGATCAAGAATTTCAAGGTCCATTTCAGATCAGTTCAGGATAGCTCCACTTAATCTTCATATAACGAGTTACGATCGCTTGTGTGTCTGCTGCCATGTGACGAACCTTGTGATGTACGGCAAGAAAGTCGCGTTATTAACAAGGAAGAACTGAGAAGCTTTCTTAGCGGAACATTTATCGCTACAGATTGAGGTAAAATGTCTCTATGTGAGTTTAGTATAAGAAAATTCACCCAACAAATGAACATCACATTTTTTTGCAATTTTTACTAAAAAAATTACGTCATCTTGGGAAAGCAGATTAAACCTTTATACGGATTACGTGCTAACTATTTAATAAATGTAAAATTAAGGTTTGAATTGATTTTTGTAAGCGTATAAATTCTTCATGTAACGATAAATTATGTTTGGAAATACTAAGTCTGAAGTCTAACGCTTATTTCCTGCCACTACCGTCAATGGGGGAAAGTGACCATGGTAACGAGCAGCCCTTCAATAAAATGGGAAAAATTAGGCTTGAAATAAATCAAGGTTTGAAAGGTAGAAACGAACATCAAAGCTGCTTAAATAGCACAAAAAAACGATTTAGGAGTGTTTTAAACAAGATTCAACCCTTGCAGTGGAATGAAATAAAGTTTAGTGATCGATATAGCCACTAACCTGGCTGTAGAGCTCGACGGAAGACTCCCCCTTGAGCTGGTGCCCTGTGAGGTAGGTGTTGTGTGAAGAAGCGATGTAGTAGTGCGACAATGGGTAACACATCTCATCCTCATCAATGGGAGAGTCTTTAAATGCATAATTATCTTCATCCATGAGCATGCGCGCGAAGCCTTCAAAAGAGAGCACGCCCATGGCACGCAAGGAAGGGTCGGGCTCATGACGCTCCAGCAGCTCGTCCAGGTCAGCTTCGTTGAGGTGCTCGCCTTGCTGCTCCACCAGGAACTTCTGCAGCTCGACTGTCGTCAACACCTGCACGCAACGTACTTATTTTAGTGAAGTGATCTTTATTGAAGCCTGTAAAGTTCCCTGCAGAATGACAAGCTAGGACTACATACTCTACAAGCAAGGACTCTACAGACAAGTCTCGATACCACTGCTGTTCAACCATCAAATGGATTTGTGAGCAAAGCTATTGTCACTGAAAGATTGTCAAAATAAACAAACAATACATGAAGCTTAAAGTCATTCATGCTCTTTTGAAACAGTAAAATAACATTTATCACTATCGCAGGAAAAAGTGTATCAAATATTTCAATATTTTTCATTAACAGGATTATCAGTGTATTGGTTCTTCAAGCTCCTGTTGGCATGATGGCCGAGGACCCTACATACGACAGGCGCACCCTACATACGACAGGCGCACCCTACATACGACAGGCGCACCCTACATACGACAGGCTCACCCTACAGGCGACAGGCGCACCCTACAGGGACAGGCGCACCCTACATGCGATAGGCGCACCCTACAGGCGACAGGCGCACCCTACAGGGACAGGCGCACCCTACATGCNAAATAAATGATAAATATTAGGCCATGTTAAAAACTTTGGCTAAGTATTTAACATGAGTTCTGTCATTTCTTAGTTACAACATTTGCTAAAGTATCTATATAAATTTTGCGCGCTGCACGATCGTTGATTACGCATGTACACTTCTTATAAATTAGTAAATTTGTCCAGTCTTATACGATTATCTAATCAAGTCTGGGGCATGAATTCTGCTCTATTTTTTCCCTACACAAGTTCCATGAGACTGACTGCCCCAGTTCTGCTCAGAGCTGAGCTTGGCCGCGTTCATTTCCCTTTCACCTGCCGGCGCTGAGCAGCAGAGCGTCTCCACGTAGCAACGAGTGAGCTCAGCCAGCAATAACACACAGATCTGTATAGTATAAATCAGTATAGTATATAGATCAGGGGCAAGTATAAGCGGCCATTTTCATTCAGCATTTTATTCGCATCTTTCAGCAAGTTCTGAATTCATGAATATATAGGTAATTAGTGTCGTAGGTACCTTTTGGTGAAACAAACGATATGTATCGTATAGATTTTCCTCCGACTTTTATTTTAATGGGATTAGTTCAATGTCACTATGAAACGCGAGCGCATTCAGTTCTAGGTCTCATAAATGACATTAATTTGAAAAAAAAATAATAAGGTTTTATGCTCGGACACACATAAGAATAACTTTCGTTGGAGTTTAGAATTTTACTAGTAGAGGCAAAAGTGGAAAGATATACTTGAAATGTAACGATTTTTTATTAATGTTGCGCCTTTATTAAGACTGGGTATACATATCCTTTCTTTTTTACATATATGACCAATATATTGCATCAGAAGGTTAATTTTTTTAGAATTTACGTTGAATCCCATAATTGCTAACATTGTAATGAAAATTTTGATGAATCACGAACACCAATACCGATCTTCCAGAAAAATAACGCAATCCAGCACCCTAATTTAAGCACCCAATTTCGAAAGACTATATATCGGAAAATGCGCCGGAAAATGCACCGGAAAATGCGCCGGAAAATGCACTGTTAGCACCGTAATTTGGGCGCATGTTCCTAAAACGCACACTCACAGTACGCAACAGAAAAGCTCGATAACGGGCCGTGATTTATAAGCTTGTTTCTATGAACAGAGTCACCGATCGTAAAATGAATAAGACGCAATATAGTATAAGGTCCAAACATGAATAATAATAACTAAATAATAATAATTAATATTAATAAATAATAATAATTAATAATAATAAATAATCTACACGAATTCATGTTCAACCGTTAATATGCTATAAAGAACTAATATTCCTATCAGACTCGACAATACAAACTTGATGAGATTTCGTTCCATCATAACACGGAAGTAAGAGAAAAGTTCAGTTGCGATGAATATCTCTCGCCAAAGGAAGAATTTTGTGCATTCGGAATGTCAAATTTTATAAGGCGACCCCCAACTCATATTTAAAATAAAATTTTCGAAGGGTTTGGTATAAAAATGAGCAAATCTATAACGAATTTTGAGCAATAATTTATTATCGGTACCATGTATAGTTGTGTACATGGTACAATGGTTCACTCGGTATAATGTATAGTTGTATACATGGTACATGTACAATAGTTGACTCGTTATCATGTACTATACGTAGTTATATACATGGTACAATGGTTCACTCGGTAGGTATCATGTATAGTTGTATACATGATACATGTACAATGTTTCACTCGGCACAACGTATACATCATGCAAAGTACTTTAGTGAGCAGCACGCACGGTATCACGCACGGTATCACGCACGGTATCACGCACAGTATCACGCACGGTATCACGTGAGAACTTGATGAGAACTTGATGAGAACTTGATGAGAACTTGATGAGAACTTGATGAGAACTTGATGAGAACTTGATGAGAACTTAATTAGAACTTGATGAGGACTTGATGAGAACTTGATGAGAGCTTGACGAGAACTTGATGAGAACTTAATGAGAACATTTGAGCTATGATGACAATAAATAATAAGTTTGGGAAACGGGTAGAGGATCAGGAAGAAACTAGAAGCAGTTAGTAAGCAATCTCTATTGAAAAAATAGACCAATAGACGAGAACAAATGTGAGGATAGATTTCACGGGCTTTAATTCGAAAAATATTGAAAACAAACTGCATCTCTCGGGACAAATTATTAACGAGTTTCTAAAATGCTAGGATCCTGAACAACGTGCTAAATAATTTCGAAACTAAAGTAATCATACTAATTAAAAGACCCGATCAAACTCAGCCTCAACAGAGATTTAACATTTAGAGCTCATTTTTATGTAAAAAAAACTTGGCTTACGAAATTAGAACAAAAACTCCGATAAGGGACAAATAATGAGTATGAAGGAGCAAATGACTTCTTGGACTCCCTTGGCTGAGTTATTCTTATTTCAGTGAACAGAATAAAATTTCTCGATGCTAATGTTTTAAAGCTAAGTTTTCGTTGACAGACAACAACACTCCACTCAATCATTCACATTCAGAGAAGTAAAAAAAAAAATCCGCGGTCCCGTAGTAGCAATTGTCTGTGGTGTTCACCGCACGTTTGGAGCAGATTGCCCTGCCCAATGGCAATCATTGGGCAGATTGTCACCAACGGCGCAGATTGCCCTGCCTAATAACAATCATTTTTGCATCCTCGTCAGAAGAACTCATCGAGGATGTTACCTTGATGGCGACGGCAGGCTTGGGGCCGCTGCATGCCTCGTCCTCGAAGTAGAGTTTGAGGTATTGTTCCTTGAGCCAATACAGGCGCTTGTCCTTCACCTCCGCCAGCCTGCGCTGCGCTCGTAGCACCATCTGAAATACACGCAGTTATGGTACAGTAATACGCGATTATGGTACAGTAATACGCGATTATGGTACAGTAATACGCGATTATGGTACAGTAATACGCGATTATGGTACAGTAATACGCGATTATGGTACAGTAATACGCGATTATGGTACAGTAATACGCGATTATGGTAAAGTATTACGCAATCATCATGAAGTGACATGTAATTACGGTGCAGCAACACGCAATTATGGCGCAGCACCATCTGTAATACTTACATCACTCACATCTCACTGTGGCAGTCAAAAATTTCCTAGGTTTTGTTGAAGTTCAAAATTAGAAATTAAGACCAAGCGTTGCTCTCATAAATTTTGCGATGAAACTTAACTTGGATTCACAACTCAATCTCAATGCACTAGACAAAAATAGTAAAATAACATCAGTCCTCGAATCTTTTGACAAATGGAAAATGATATTGAGCCCCGGGCAAGATAAATAATGTACAAGTCCAATGACATAACTATATTTCGATTAAGTATACGATGCCAACAAAGTGCCTAATTAAGCATTCGTTTTACTGAGAAGTAATAAGCAAAATAAATACTCGGGTCCATTACGAACCCGAATATTTATTTATTATTAAAACGAAGTTAGATGCCTTATCCTCAGTATATGTTTCGGATGTGGCAGTCCCAGGTCACGATGGAAGTTCCAAGCCAACAACGGACTCTCCTAATTAAGTATTCGTTTTAATAACAAGTAATAAGCCAAATAATTACTAGAATCTATTACGAAGTTCTTACCTGTAGTCCCTGGCACCAGACGCTGGCCACAGCAGGAGGCGCCATGAGCAACATGACTCTGTTGTCCGCGAGACACGCGCCGTACACGACGCTCACGCAGCAGCAGCCACAGCCTGACGATGTCTCGGGGAAGTACCTGTGCCCGGGGATTTAGTATTATTAAGTATAAAAATATAATAATATATATATACTTAATAATATTTTATAATTAAATTATTAAGTATAATAATACGATTAGTTGTTCATACGTCAACACCCTAGCTTATCACCTCCAGTGACGTCACACTAATAAGCAACAGTTAGCTAACTGACATCAGTCGAGTGGGTTCCCTCTTAGCTTCCTTACGCAAGACCGATCATACAGCACCTACGCTTGTATCGCTCATGTATTTCCCGTGAAACTCTGTTACTCGTCATGCCCATGAACCTCTCTTACTCGTCAATAGTGATATATTAAATTGTCTTATATAGTTAACGCGAGTATCACTATCCGGCCTGAGTGTGTCTACAGTGAGTGTGAGTAAGTTGGAATGTCTACACAGAGTGATTCACAGAAACTTCCTGATATGAAAGTTCAGTGAAAAAGAATTAGTATCATTTCAATATAAATTTTACTGAAAAAGATATTAGCTTAATTTTTTATCATTTAATTACAAAGATGACATCGGACAAATTACGGCCCCCATTGTCAATGCATTCAGTTTTTTTCTGAAGTTTCGTTCAACTCGCTGAAGCATATTGATGTTGGCGATGGCTTGGCGTATGTAGTTCCTAAAATGAAGTAGGGTTCTTGGACAGTCATTGTAAATAAATGATTCACCACAACACCATCACGCCCCGTGGACGCCACCACAACACCATCACGCCCCGTGGACGCCACCACAACACCATCACGCCCCGTGGACGCCACCATGGGACATGGTGGGACATGGCGTACTGGGGACATGGCGAGACATGGTGGGACATGGCGAGACATGGTGGGACATGGCGTAGCGGGGACATGGTATGGCATGGCGAAACATGGATCAATGAACGGCGACGACAACGATCAAATATCATACAGATTTTCCTGAACTATTTTTTAGGCATTGGCAACATTAATTAAAAACTTTTCTCTAACTCCTGCACAAGCATGAACCGAAATGAAATTAAGCAGTCATGAATATCATGTCAGTGACCAACAGAACCTGCTTGAAAATAAGTTGATGCAAAGCAAAAATTAAATAGTATTTAATGAAAAAAAGACTTTAGTCATAAGAATTCGCCGGGAGACTTCGAGCTCACCAGATTATTTAACTGAACGGTATGAGAACCAAGCTCAAAGTAGAATAATCATGATGAATAGTGACGTGATACTAGCCATGAGAGTAAAATAATGACAATAATAAAATAGCGCACAATAATGACAATAAAGTAAGTTCTGCTCACCATGAGCGCACAACAAAGCATGTTGTGCTCACCATGAGCGCACAATAAAGTTGTGCTCACCATGAGCGCACAATAAAGTTGTGCTCACCATGAGCGCACAATAAAGTTGTGCTCACCATGAGCGCACAATAAAGTTGTGCTCACCATGAGCGCACAATAAAGTTGTGCTCACCATGAGCGCACAATAAAGTTGTGCTCACCATGAGCGCACAATAAAGTTGTGCTCACCATGAGCGCACAATAAAGTTGTGCTCACCATGAGCGCACAATAAAGTTGTGCTCACCATGAGCGCACAATAAAGTTGTGCTCACCATGAGCGCACAATAAAGTTGTGCTCACCATGAGCGCACAATAAAGTTGTGCTCACCATGAGCGCACAATAAAGTTGTGCTCACCATGAGCGCACAATAAAGTTGTGCTCACCATGAGCGCACAATAAAGTTGTGCTCACCATGAGCGCACAATAAAGTTGTGCTCACCATGAGCGCACAATAAAGTTGTGCTCACCATGAGCGCACAATAAAGTTGTGCTCACCATGAGCGCACAATAAAGTTGTGCTCACCATGAGCGCACAATAAAGTTGTGCTCACCATGAGCGCACAATAAAGTTGTGCTCACCATGAGCGCACAATAAAGTTGTGCTCACCATGAGCGCACAATAAAGTTGTGCTCACCATGAGCGCACAATAAAGTTGTGCTCACCATGAGCGCACAATAAAGTTGTGCTCACCATGAGCGCACAATAAAGTTGTGCTCACCATGAGCGCACAATAAAGTTGTGCTCACCATGAGCGCACAATAAAGTTGTGCTCACCATGAGCGCACAATAAAGTTGTGCTCACCATGAGCGCACAATAAAGTTGTGCTCACCATGAGCGCACAATAAAGTTGTGCTCACCATGAGCGCACAATAAAGTTGTGCTCACCATGAGCGCACAATAAAGTTGTGCTCACCATGAGCGCACAATAAAGTTGTGCTCACCATGAGCGCACAATAAAGTTGTGCTCACCATGAGCGCACAATAAAGTTGTGCTCACCATGAGCGCACAATAAAGTTGTGCTCACCATGAGCGCACAATAAAGTTGTGCTCACCATGAGCGCACAATAAAGTTGTGCTCACCATGAGCGCACAATAAAGTTGTGCTCACCATGAGCGCACAATAAAGTTGTGCTCACCATGAGCGCACAATAAAGTTGTGCTCACCATGAGCGCACAATAAAGTTGTGCTCACCATGAGCGCACAATAAAGTTGTGCTCACCATGAGCGCACAATNGCGACAGGCGCACCCTACAGGCGACAGGCGCACCCTACAGGCGACAGGCGCACCCTACAGGCGACAGGCGCACCCTACAGGCGACAGGCGCACCCTACAGGAGACAGGCGCACCCTACAGGCGACAGGCGCACCCTATAGGCGACAGGCGCACCCTACAGGCGACAGGCGCACCCTATAGGCGACATGCGCACCCTATAGGCGACATGCGCACCCTATAGGCGACATGTGCACCTGACTCTTGGAGCTGCCGCCCCACGCGCAGTTCGTTACGATGCTCGCCGCCGCAATGGCGTCGAAGATTTTCTTCTTGTGGCAGTTGTTCCTGAAGACGAGGACGTCGAGGGACGTGTTACGTGTTAGGAGTCCTACAGACTTGAGCTGCTGATGGCGGTTAGGGAGCGTTGCGCTCGGCAAGTGGTGGGCTGAGCTCGAGGAGCCAAGCTTCGTGTAAGGCGGCGTTGGTGGAGATGAAGTGCTTGTTTGATCCTCTAAAGAACTATCCGACAAATTCTTGCGTGTTATAGCAAACATTTTGAAGATGTCGCGTAAGTCCTTGCGTGCTCGTAGACTAAATGACTTGTAGAGAGCAACGAAGTCTGAGAAGTCCAACTCCGCTGCCTGGGCTAAAGGCTCTCCTCTCACGCCCTGAGTGCCGAACTCCAAAGGGCCTCCAGATACGCTCCTCTCTCTGGAAAATTGAAAAATCTCTTCGTACAAACTCGATCGACTCCATCAACGGATCAAGATTACGCAATGTAAAATTCGTAAATTGAATGTACAAGATTCGTAGGATATTCAGAAATAAGTTTAATTGAAGTTAATGACAAAAATATTGAAGAACATCAATATACTTGATTGATCATGCCTACAAGGTAGAAATGACAAATAATTTTTGTTTTGTTACAGGAATATTCACGATATTTTAATTAATACGTGTCGGTGATCTGTTTCATTATCAGGTCACATTAAACGACCATTTATAAGTTTATAATGAAAATATGGAAAATTTAATTGTCATTTTCTCAGTTCAATTCTTAATTAATTTGTTATTCAAGCGAACTTCAGATATCGACATTTGAAGCTTTATATATTTGAAGCTTTATATAACTTTACATATTTGAAGCTTTATATAGCCTTATATATTTGAAGCTTTATATAGCTTTACATCTTTGAAGCTTTATAAAGCTGTATGTATTTGAAGCTTTATTAGGCTGTATATATTTAAATCTTCTGAAGCAGAAAAAGTAAAAATTGAGACCTGAAGGTTTGCTGCTGGGCACGACTGTGCCTGGGCGAAGGCAGCCCAGACAAGACGCTGGGATGTTGCTGGTCAAAGCCTTTAGCAAGGCTCGGCAGGGGGGCGTCTTTGCCCCCGTATGGAGGCCCTCCAGCAGGTGACCGGTGTCCAGGAGACAGCTGGTCCTGGTCAGCTGGACGCCGTCTGGCTGGAGGAGGGGAAGGCTGGTGGAGGATAGTGCTGGCTGAGGAGGAGGAGGATAAAGTCGTGGTGGAGAAGTGATGGCTGTTGTTGTTGTTGTTCACGACTGTCGTGGGGGTGAGAGTCGTGCGACGATTTCCTGACACTGGCGACGTCGTTGAGGGTCGGTCATAGTCGCCCTGTCGTGTAATCATCAAATATTAATTGATAATTAATATGCTATAAAGAACTAATATTCAGGAATTTAAAAGCAAAGAAAATTGCCAAAAATTTCACCATTTCTTATAAGAGAAAACGTTTCGTAGTCTAGCTCCATTGTCAGTTCAAAACCTGTAACACAGGTACAAACAATTAGTAACCTAAAATTCACATTAAAAAAATTCACCGAAACTTAAGGACATTAGAACCGAAATAGAAAATAAAACAAGCATAAATGAGACAATACGAGCAGAAAGTACTATCTATTTATAATTTGTAGACGATAGGAACTAAAAGCAGCATTTAAATGGGATAGGAACTAATATTCCCATCAGACTCGACAATAAAAATTTTTATGAGATTTCGTTCCATCACAAAACGCAAGTAAGAGGAAAGTTCAGTTGCGATGAATTTCTTTTGCCAAGGAAGAACTTTGCGCATTCGAAATGATAAATTTTAAAAAGGCGACACCTAACTTAATTCAAATAAATTCATCGAGGTCTGGTATAAAAGTTAGTAAGATCTACAATGAATTTCGAGCAATAGTTGATTATCGCTGTCATGTTTAGTTGTGTACATAGAACAATGGTATGCTCGGTACCATGCATAGTTGTGTACATGATACAATGGTTCACTCGGTACAACAAATACATCATGCACAGTACTTTAGTGAGCAGCATGCCCGGTACCACGCTTCGCTCATGTATTTCCCGTGAAACTCTGTTACTCGTCATGCCATAATCAGTAGTGATATATAAATTGTCTTAGTTACCGTGAGTATCACTATCCTGCCAGAGTAACATCTATACAAAGTGATTCACGGAAACTTCCCGATTTGAAAGCTTTACAAAAAAACTAGTAAAAATATCATAGCAATATAAATTTCGTTGAAAAGACATTACCTGACTGTTTTGCCATTTAGTTTTAAAGATGAAATTGGATACATATCAGCCTCCATTGTCAATGCATTCAGTTCATTTTTTAACGTTTCGTACGGCTCGCCGAAGCATATTAACGGGTATTTTGACAATGGCTTGGCGTAAGTAGTTTCTAAAATGAGGTAGGGTCCTTGCAACAGTCATTGTAAACAATTGATTTAAGATAAGCAAATAGAATAATCACACGGAGCCAATTCGGGGGATGGGGCCGGCCAAAGAAAGTCACCTGAAGGAGGAATAAGGAACCGGTTACGGAATGCTCGTTGAGTAGCGATAATGGAACGGCCAGTAGAAAAGTACGCCTGGACAGCAAACGCACGCTGCTTGTCCAATGCATAGACTGGCAACTGACTAGGCGAGACACTTGTCTTTCACATGAAATATTTGTCTTCGTCCTTTTCCTACAACATCTGGCTGCTTGGTGCGAAATACAAAACAGGAAGTTTCTGTGAATCACCCAGTGGAACGCCGTTTCGTCAGTACGTTCATTAGATTTATATATCTATGGTAGCCACAGGCAGAGGCAACCGGACAACTGCTAACGAGATGGCAGCTGTGGACGCCACCACAACACCATCACGCCCCGTGGACGCCACCAAACGTTACCTGCGGGCGAGGTGGGCGACGTTGCCGTCCCTGTAGCCGAGCTGCACGTCCTTGATGCAAGAGACCTGCAGGAAGCCTTCGTCCAGCGTCCCGCCCGTCAGGTCCGGGGACATGGCGTACTGGGGACACGGCGGGACATGGTGGGACATGGCGTACTGGGGACATGGCGAACTGGGGACATGGCGGGACATGGTGGGACATGGCGTACTGGGGACATGGCGAGACATGGTGGGACATGGCGTTCTGGGGACATGGTGGGACATGGCGTACTGGGGACATGGTGGGACATGGCGTACTGGGGACATGGCGGGACATGGC